CATGGAGTCCATATTGAGAGCTAAGGTTTTACTTACCTGTGGTACTGCTTTAACAGGTCTGGATATTAAGCCTCCAACATACACAGTGTTGGGAAGCAGGGGCCGAGCAAATTCAAAGGCAAAGTCAGAGTTAACAAACCACAGCTCTGCTTTCTTTAGGAGATGAGACAAAACTGGCCTAGAGCCTTCTGGGAAATGTTCCTTGATGGTGCTGTCAAACGTAGACTGGATTCGCCATTGCTTTATGGAGAAATCAAAGAGCATCAGAAAATTCTTCACTCTGCCCCAGAAGTCCATGTGGTCGGTTAGCAAGGAATTGAATACTGGAACATAAGACACAGGGTTTGGTAGTCCAAGGTCCACACTGCCAAAGGAAGTGGGAAGAATCGACACAAATGGCTTCCCAAGCTTCTCAGCAACCAGGAAAGAACAGAAGTCAAATGCTTCAACAAATACCAGGTCAAAGTTCTCATTTTTTAAGAAATCCATGATATCACTTCTCCTTAGCAAATCACTGCATCGAATCCCCAATTGTTCCATTAACTTTACAAAGTTGTCAAATGCTCCTCTGTTTAAAACAAGAGTAATGACAAATATTCATTGAAGGTGTTAATTTGACAATACTTAGGAGAATCTTTGGCTCAAAGAAAATATCCCATTATCTGGCAGCAGCCCACCTATTTTACCAGTGTTCAAGGAATACTCTGCTCTGGGTGTTTCTGCTTCTTAAAATGTTCTCACTTCCTCCCCTCCCCTTTCTCTGGCCAATCCATATGCCCACACTAGCAAAGCTAATTTAGGTCCTTCTGCATTGAAAACATTCTCTGTCACTAGTAGATCTAAAAGTCCCATGTCTAGTTGATCCATTCTGTGATGTTCTGTTTAAATTTCATTTGCATACTGACCTTTTCTGAGTGACTGTCCTGTTTCCTAACCAAACTGTGAAAGTAACTTCAAGGCATCAATATTCACGATGTAGCCTTTATTTGAAACTGGGTATATCCTAAATTTGACAGATTACCTCACACAACAAACTTTCTAATGGTAATATTAGAATCCAACTTCTAAGCTGAACATGAGATTTACATCTTCCTACCTGAAAAGATTAACATTTAAAACAAAAATAAAAGCCTATTTGAAGCTAACTACTACCTTTCCACATCATTCCAGATGGAGTATTCATGCTTATTCCAAAAGTTCATGCTAAAATTTTACCAATATCTATTAAGACTCCTGCCTATGGCACTATTCCAGGAACTATTCTCTCAATGTTTTCCCATCAATGCCTGCAAGAAAAATGATCTTTTTCATACAGCACATAGGCAACAGATGAGAATATTCCTGACCAGAGATTACAGGTCAGGTGCTTTGGAGACTCATGGGTCTCCTACTTGAATGAAGGACTGAGAGAATCAATGACCTGGCAAACTTATAACCTGTACAACATTCCACCTTATCAGCCCACTGAAAGAAGACCCACAGGTGAAAGCTCATTAACAATATGAAGATGCTTACACATGCTATAGAATCAACTACAAGTGAAAACAGATAATTAACTGAAATTATCCTCTATAATATTTTAAAAGATTTTCATAAAGAATGATTGCTAAATATTATTGACAAATTCAGGATATGAAGTACAAAGTCCTCTAAAGTAGAGCATGAATCATATTGAAATGAAGATAATACATTGAAAAAATACAGAAAAGTACTTCGTTCAGTATATTGCACCATATTTAACATGTGTGTGAAACCAGTCTTCAAGGGGCACCTGGGTGACTCAGTTAGTTAAGCATCTGACTCCTGATCTCAGCTCAAATCTTGATCTCAGGGTTGGGAATTCAAACCCCTTGTTGGGGTCCATGCTGGGCATGGAACCTACTTAAAAACAAAAAATGAACAAAAAAAAAACAGTCTTTGACATAATAAATCTGAGGAGAAAGAGATGAGACTTATAATTCAAACATATATGAGTAACAACACAAGATAAAATAGACAACGTTTCAAATGAGTACTTTTAGATCAGATCTCTTACAGAGGGGAGAATTTGGTCTTCTAGTTTGACTAAGGAATTGGGCTTTATGAAAAAAGCCAGACTTTAGGACCACCTAGAAGCAAATAGAATTTCTTTACTTTTTTAAGATTTTATTTATTTGAGAGAGAGAGCGCACACGCAAGTGGGGGAAGAGGCAGAGACACAGCAGACTTCCCGCTGAGCGTGGAGCTCAACAGGGGCTTGGCAGGCTCAGTCCCAGGACCCTGAGATCATGACCTGAGCCAAAGTCAGATGCTTAACCAACTGAGACAACCAGGCACCCTACTAATAGAATTTCTAGGGAAAGAAGGGGGATGGACATTAGGTCTGTGTATTAACCAAACAAGGGATAAATTTGGGTCTTTACCTTCAAATGTCAAAGATGAAGAACTTTCTATACACCTCAGATAATGACAAAAATCCCTCAGGTTACTCACTGATTGTATATCACCAAGATATTTGAGTTTTTTAAATGAGTTTAAAAGACAGTGGTTCAAGGCATTAAATAACAATATTCATAAGCATCTTTCTATTCTTGAATTTATGTGAGGAAAAGATAGGAAAAATAAGTATAACCTGGTGGTTCTCATTGCGTACCAACAATGAGAAATTAAGTTGTCTATCCCAACTTCTGTGTTATGGAGAATATATATATGCAAACACTGCAGATGGAATGTTGCAAGGAAGATCCGGAGGAACAGTCCCCCTCACTATACAGAAATACATTCATGCTTTCAGTGGAAGAGCCACAGGATACACAAACTGAATGATTGGTAGTGCAAAACTCTACTCCATCCATCCACTGCCACCATCATTGATCTCCCCATCCATCTACTCATCCATCCATCCATTCATCCATCCATCCATCCATTTCTCTTAAACTCACACCAAGAATCCATGCATGCAACTATTCATCCCTATCACTAAAATGGTAAGTCTTTCATTCAGAGAATAAAAGAAATTACCTGCCATGCAAAGCTTCTGTCACAAAGAAATCAAAAGTGTTATTAAAATCTTTTCTATGATCTTCAGGTGGAAGCCAACTGATAACTTTGTATGAAATTTCATTCTTTTCTAAAAATAAAAATAAAACACCAATAAAGAAATGTTTAATTGTACCATACAACCCAAACTAACATTGGCATGATGATATCATGGTATCTTTATTCCAAGGATTGTATATATATTCAAATGTTTGCTTTTTGAACTTTGGTTTGGTTTGGTTTTTCTGCTTTCTCATTTCTTCAATCATGCAACCTGCTAAACTTTACTGAGAACCACATAATGATATAGTCACTTTTATTCATTTTAAAGTACTGGAAGTTTCTACTTAAAATTTACACTTAAAGGTATAATTATTCACCATTTTATAGGTGAGAAAGGAGTGCCAGATAATTTATCAAGAGTGCACATATAGCGAATGATATACTTTGTATTTAAATACAGATCTTATTTTATGCCAGCTCCCCAGTCATTTCTCATTTAGAAAAAGAAATGATTTTCATTAAAATTAAAAGTGATACATGCACAGGTTTTTCAGTCAGCCAAAAAAATACCAACACCTAAATTTAACAAAGGAGTCCTCTGCAGCCCTACTTCACATCTGGCATTTCCCTCATAACTCATGTGTAATAAAGAGTCTGACACCATTTCTGAGGTTGGACTGATGACAGCTTTCAAGCTCCATCTCCCCTTAACCTTCTGTGACATACCTTGGCCAACAGAGAAGAAAGCCTCAACATGCCATCCTTTATGTGAGCAAGAGTGTCAAGCCAAGCAAGCCAGACCCAAGCAGGGGAATCCTCACCTCCACCCTACTCAGAAGCTTCCATAATTGGCATTTAGAGACAAAAGTATGGGTTTAGCCTTTCAGCGGTCCTGGTCATGTGTCTCACATAAACCTATTTTCTGTGTCAGCTTGGATTGTGCTTCTGGATCCCAGCATGAGCCGTGATTGACACTAGGCTAGGTAGAACCCTGTGACCAATGGTTGCGTGTCTCAAGGACTGCCCCCATTATAAACAGTGCTCTGGGTAAGACTGATACCAGTTTACAAGCCCACAGAATGGTGGAAGAAGAGTAGTCACTATGTCATATGATGAGATTCACACCTGTGAAAGTAGAAGGCGCATCCAACCCTAGAAAATGCCTTTGCTACTGCTGCTGATTATATCTCTGT